CAAGCTCTGTAATAACCAAGCACAGAATGATGTGTGAGGCTAGTATTTGTACCTGCTGACGTCAGGGTGCGGTCATCTCAGGAGGCGGGGTTCTTCCTGAAAAGTTGTGCGCTGTACCTTTAAGAAGACACACAGTGCGTGCGCACTTCATGGCGGCTCCACACGGCGGACATCACAGAGTGGCGGGGAACGAAGGAGACAGGTGCTGCTGGACTCGGGGCTGCGGATAACAGCGTGTCAGACCTCCAGCTGTCTGCGGGGACGCCCTTTCGTGGCACAAAGGTGGGTATTACAAAGGTGGGTTCAATAAGCAATCATTATAGCTTATTGAACTGAGCTTTTTGTCCCCACCTGATACTTTACACAGTGAATCAAAGCGAATATGGCGACAGACAGTTTCTACTCAACTACCTAACCGTACACAGTGCACACTTTGAAGACGGAATACAGTATACAGTATGAAGTCAGGGAGTTAATTGGCTATGACTACTGATGGTGGGTGGAATTCAAGCAGTAGAAGGAGAAGGGTTACTCCAGATTACTCTGCTCCTCCTGCTTGTCAAGTCTGTGCTGCTGATGTCTAGTGCTGTTCAGTGACCAAGCGACACTGACCCCTTGAAATAATGGCAGACACCCCTGGGGAAACATGTACCCCATGTTGGGAATCTGCCATAGAGCCAACAGAGCATGGCAGAGAACGCTCCCTTACCAGGCAGGCTGCAAGCAGGGCCGGCCTTAGGGGTGTGCAAAGGCGGCCGACACAGCTCGTCCTTGGGGCGGCTTCTCTCCTCCTCACCGACATATAATTTTTTATGCTATTTTGGATTCAGCCATTGGCGTGTTCTGGAGTAGCATGACATCATATAACACCGCACGTGTTGGGCGCCGCTAGCATGGTGTATATCTAGGTATACACCAAGATGGTGGGGCCAATATCGGCGTGACGTCACACATGCATGGCGTCATGTAACGTCATGCTCCCCGCCTCCAAGATGGTGGCACGCATTCACAGAACACGCCGGTGGCCAACATGGCCGCCGCACTTTCTCAAACAAATTATTACGTGCCGGAATACATTTTTTGTATATTCGGACATATAGTAATTCATAAATTTTACATGTATTCTGGGTTTTGTGTTCTGTTTTCTATTTTTACTTTTCTAGATATACTTACTTGAAGAAAGGGATCGGCATGACAACCTGACACTTTATTTTTATAGACTCTATTTTAGTTTGACATTTATTGTTTACTACATGTTTGCCTTCTGTTGTTTTATGTATTAAGAATACTTATATTGTGCTTATATTGTCTACAAGTTTAATACCTTTGAATAAAAGTTTTATTTTTATCATACTTTTTAATATGTTTCTTTGCGGCTTAACAAAATTGGAGTCTTTAAATGGTGCGGATATTGGGGGAAATGGGTGTGGTTACTGGGGGTGTGGCCACTAAAGGGTGTGGTCACTGAGGGGTGTGGTTACTGAGGGGCACTGTAAAGCTTTCTTGTGCAGGGCGCCTAAAGGCCTAAGGCCGGCCCTGGCTGCAAGGGTGGGGTATAAGAAGTTGTGGCACTATGGTGGCTAAAAGGAAGGGATAACTGAGGTACTGTGATAATACTACAGACATCCACCCTCCATGCAGCCAACAAACCACTACAGACACCCCAAGCCATTGCCATGCAGCTACCTGAGCCAAAGAACCTCCTTATAAAACCCCACAACATATAAGATCCTGGATATTTGTGGTCATTTGTATAAACAATGGGCTACAAAACTACATGGTGTAGAGGCTTGATGTAACAGTTTATAATAAGCCCATCCTGAAAATAATATGTATGCTTCCATTGCTGACTTCTTTCTGAAAATGCACATTTTCACTTGTATTCTTTCTGGGATGAGGATGCAGCAAGTGAAGACAGAACTCCTAATGTGCATACTGGTCCCCAGTCAGTGACTGAGAAGGAAGAGAAGCCAATGATTTAGCATGGTAGCCAAGCAAACAGCATTTTCAGAAGAGGAGGTCAGCAAATCAAGGGTTTAGGTTCCATTAAAGTGTATGTAAATCCATTGCATGATGGATGGAGAAGAGAAGCATCGTAAACTCTGTTGGGTTATTATTACAGTCTATTTCCCCGCTGAGGAGATTCACCCTCTCCATTCAGGGGACACCTGTTCTGATGACAAATATGTTAAAGGGAAAGCCCCTCATTTTGTAGAGATTCTCTTTCACTTCCTGGTGCACCTCAGAGACAGTTTATGAAGAGGAGTCTCCCCAATGGGACAAAGAAAGCATAAAGTATATTGACACGTGTTTCAGCCCTTCCTTACCCCATCCAAAACTCAGAAGTAGGCTATGCAGTACAGACATGAAATCCCATCGCTTCTCGGCCTTTTGGCTAAGATCAAGTGTAGTATCTGTTCTTATCAGTTTCCGGTGGGGAAAAGAACCGTCCTTGCAGGGGATGGTTACTTAGTACTCGCTGGAGTGAAAGAGCGTGTGGGGCTGCTTCCTGTGAGAGGGGAACAGCTCAGTACATGGCTTTCTGACTGAACAGATGCAAAGCTTGGTCTGGCTGGAGGGTTGGGGGCGGCAGAAGCCCGTGGTGTTGAGCATCAGAAAATCACTAGGGTGTGGGACCCCACAAGTGATTCACTGAGCACTTGGACACGACACCATATTGCTATTTTCTGCACATCGCCTCCGAGACAGGCCTTACGGCTAGTCTGGGGCAATATTTTTGCACTCCGGCCCCTAAGGCCTGTCAGCGTGGTGCACTGGCACTTATTATTTATTGCACCATATGCATGATTGGCACTTCTTTTATTTTCAAATTTTGACCCACAGATGCAGCGGGTGCAGGTTCCTTCGGGGCCTATTCCTGATGTGGGGAGGAGATTCTGTGCCCTTATATAGGGTTCTCTGTCTCCTCCCACCCAGGAGGGGGTCTCTCTTCGGGAGAGACCCCTGCCTAGTACTGTGAGGGACCTGTTTCAGCAGGTCCTCAAAGGATCGGTGTCCACCGGCCTTCGGGTTGGTGGACCAACAGTCTCAACCCCTGTCAGGAGCCTTGGGCCCCGGGGGGTCGGGAATTGAGGTCCCTTATTTATTTAAGGACCTTGCACCCTTGTGCACGTTTTTGTGTGCTGTGATTTCACGGTTCACTTTTTTTGTTCACAGGGGGAAGTTTGTTTAGATGCACGTTCCACGGGCTTAAAAAAAAAAAATGAAATCCCATTCCTGGGCTGGCCGCAAAAATAAATAGTGACAGCCACCTTAACACACATGTAGATAATGCTTGCCCAATGCAGTCCTAACACATAGACCAGTTCTATTGCCTTTTGTCCTGCTTTTTCAAGTCATAAAAGACCCTCGGCACTCTTTCAAGCTAGCCAGCAACAAAAACAAGCTCATCTGTCCAAAAAGTATTTATGGTCAAAGACTTTAATGTATTTTTATAGTGAATGTCCATAAGCTCTATCCCACCCCTAATAACCAATTTCTATTCTAGAACCAATACTAGACGTTTGTAAACTTACTTAATGAAGATGCCCATAAGATGTACTTCCTCAATGCACTGACACAATTTTACTCAGCTTGTGAATATGCACTTCTTTGTCTCACAACTCTCACAGAGCCTGCCTTTTGTACTACAACTCAAGGTAACATTATAATTGCTTGCTGGAAGCAATGCACGATGGGATATAAAGTCTTAAAAGGAGATTGCTTCACATCAAGCATTAGGGAAAGAGATGCAAAGCACACTTGGAATCCAGGAAGATGTTGGGAAAGGAAAGTGAAGTGCAGACAGAAGGCAGCACTCACTACATAAAAGGGATTTTTTTCAAGACGGCCTTGATTTGAATTATGAAGAATAACTATAGTACAGAGATCCCAACCTGAAGAAAGCAATTTCAGGGAGGTGCCCTTCAGGGTGGGGGGTTAGAGAGCACCCCACTAAAATGATGGCCGATAGCACGGGAAGCAATAGCTTCTTTGCCTGATGAAGGGGATCCCGTGAGACCCCGAAATGTTGTTTAGAGGCTTCTACTTGCAATTAGTATGTTAATAAACACGTGCTGAACTTGCTTTGGAGTGCCAGTGTCCATCCTTTACTTACAGTTCCTTAGCCAAGGGCTGAGGAGTTGTTCAGCAGCACTTCAGTTCACTGCAGCAGCTTCACTGAACACTTCGCCTGCACATTTTTGACTTATACCATTTCCCAATTAATATTTGGTGTGCTCGTCCACCAAAACATTAAATTGTAGGTTCCCACACTGAATTGGTTTCCTCTATCAGGGTTCAGGCACCTATCTCCAGCACTGCCAGGTTTGCCCACACTCAAAATAGCCGCTGATGCTTTGTCCCCACCTTTTCTGTCACATTCAGTGCATCCACATTCACTTCCTCTGCGAGTGCTAAGTTAGTAGTGCTGAGCGCTGACTTGCAGCACACAGTTCAGCGGCGTTTTGCTAACTCAGCACTCGCAGCAGCTGAGCAACTGAACGCGTCCCTGTTCCAAGGACAACTATAAGGGGAATACCCTTTTTTTGTGGGGATTCCCTTTAACTTCCTGTTGTGTCTTAGGAACAGAAATGAAAGGGAAATTTCCCCCCTATAGTACAGACAGCAAAAAATTAAATGGCAAGGTTTAACCTTCTGTACTTTAACAAAAAGCAAAAAAGTCCATGTGTCAATACCAAAATCTGTAAATTGCATGTAAAATGTGTAATAAAAACTATACAATAATGATACATATTAGCTATGGGTGACTGTTAACATGCTTAGAAATCCAGCTCAGTGTAAAGAGGATGCATTGCTCATCATTCCCAGGGGCTAGAACTTCCAAGGACATCCCTGTATTCACATCTGCCCACTGTTACATAACCGAGCCAGAATCACACAGCTTTTCGGCTATGCCCGGCACACGCATGCGCACACTCTCCACCTCGCCGGGAGACGCTTCGCCCAGAGGCATTGTGGGGCGCACGGAGCATGCGCTCTCTGTGTGCCCCGGTGCATTGTGGGAGCGAAGCTGAGTGGCGCAGGACTGGTGAGGCCGCCATCTTGTCCCCTTCCCCTCCGTGCGTACCACCAGGCCGCTCTTTGCTGACCGTGCGGCCCCGGGGGAGTGTTGTGCCATGGGCCGCTCCCGCAGTCGGAGCACTTCCCGCCCCAAGCACACCAAGAGTAGCAAACATAACAAAAAGCGGAGCCGCTCCCGGGAGAAGGAGCGAGTGAGGAAGCGCTCCAAGGACCGGGAGAGCAAGAGGAACAAGCGGCGGGAATCTCGCTCCAGGTCTCGCTCGAACACAGCTTCCAAGAGGGAGCGAGAAAGGCCCATTACGCCGCCGGAGCGTCTCGACATCTTCGGGCGCACGGTGAGCAAGAGGGGCAGCGTGGATGAGAAGCAGAAGAGGGAGGAAGAGGAGAAGAAGATGGAGTATGAGCGCCAGAGGCGGATGTGAGTATGATACTAGGCCGCAGCCGGGTCAATGTGCAGCCAATAGTACGTAATGTATGAGTCAGCCTCCTATTGATGAAGTGCTCGGATATAGGAAGTCCTCATAACAATCCCTGAAAACTACATAGGATTAGGCCGCACCATGGATGACTGGTGTGCACCCATAATGTGAGAGTTTATCAAAACTGGAGCAGCTGCCCATAGTAATCAATTTATCTCTTCTGTTTGTTTAGTTAAGCTTTGAAGCTGCTTGGTTGTCATGGGCAACTGCTCCGTTTGAGATAAATCCCCCTTAATGTATAAATCTTGTTCTTATAGATAAGCAGGTGCACTGATAAAGGAGGTCCTCACAATCACTGCAAACCAGATAGGACTAGGCCGCAGCATGGATTAAAGTAGTGTGTGTGGCCAATAGTACATGATGTACGAGTCAGCCTCCTATAGATGGGCAAGTGCACTGATACAGGAGGTCCTGTAAACTAGATTGGACTAGGCCGCAGCATAGATGGAAGTAGTGTGTGGCTAATAGTAGATAATGAGTCAATCTCCTATAGATGGAGGAACATGGTAGGTCCCTATAGCAGACACCCAGATAGCAAGGATAACTTGGCACGAACTTGTGGCAGGGTTAAATTGTATTTCTTGTTACCTTGCTGCACACATTCCTGGCAAGTTGTAGCCTTGCAGAACACTTGCAGCACAAGTTCTAGTTGACACTTTTTGAATTTGTAGCAAATTTGCTTGGCAAGTCTACAGCAAGAGTCCTGCAGGTCTTACCAAGAGCTCTGCAAGTGTGCAGCATTTTTGAAAGACACGTTGATCTGGAGATGTGCAATGCAGACTTGCTGTAATTGTGCAACAAAATTGTGAAGCTTGGCAAGTCTGCAATAGTTTAGCAAGTCATTTTCAAACTTGAGGCTCAATTTCTTGCTATCTGGGCATCAGCGCACGTGCCAGTGGAGGATGTCGGTTTGAAGGGGCAGTCCCTGGGAAGAAAGGACTAGTCCACAGCGGGGACAGTGCAGCCAAAAAGCACATAACGTATGAGTTGGCCTCCATAGATTGGGAAAGGGTTCTCTGATATAGAAGGTCCTCATAACCATCAGTAAAAACTAGATAGGACTAGGCTGCAGTACGGATGACAGTAGTGTGCTGCCAGTAGTTGATAATAGTTGAAGATGACCTCCTATATATGGCGAAGGGTGCTCTGACATAGAAGGTCCCTATTGCAGTCACCTAGAGACTAAAGCCTTGGTTCTCAACTAGTGGGTCGTGACCAAAAAGTGGGTTGCCACATGCCTTCCACTTTTCTAGGCGATAGGCGCCTCAGCCTCCCCCTAGCGTTGCATTGTCAATTCTCACAGCGAGCAGCCATTCAAAATATGCTGCCTGATGCTGAGTGTCAGCTTGGGGTGGGGTGGGCTAGGGCCATGAGGGAGCTCCATCCATAAGTGTATTGCTTACAGCTCCCTCGTGTGTCCCATAGAAGTGCCTGGACCGGACTGAAATTACATTCTAGTTCCTGGCACCTCTACAGTCTGTACAAGTGGATGCACATATGGATGGAGCTCCATCACAGCACAGACTGAGAATCCACTCCAGTTCTCGTAACATAGGGAGACTGGGTGGATAAAAAAAAAAACCTAGGGTGTATGTTTGTGAGATTGTGTCTTTGAGGGCCCATTCACACTAGTACAGCGCGATGATCGCACAGTTATTATTCTTATTATAATACAGGATTTATATAGCGCCAACAGTTTGCGCAGCGCTTTACAATATAAGGAAGACATTACAATCTCAATACAATTCAAGACAAGATGGTAAGGAGGGCCCTGCCCCTAAGGGCTTACAATCTAATAGGGAGGGGGAAATTAACGCACTGTGCCATGCAATCGCATGTTCTGGTGTGGGAGGTGCAGTGAACTGCCATTCATTTAAATGACGCTCCAAACGCATCTTTCACCACAGTTTATCGCCCGCATCGGAACGCACGGTACTGCGATGCCATGCGTGTCATTGCAGTGCAACTTGGTTCACGACTTAATGACCGAGGACAATTATGGGTCCTGAGGTTACACAGGTTGAGAGCCACTGCTCTAAATGATGAGTTGCAGTGGTGGATGTGAGTATGAGGGAGAACATTACCTGCAAGAGAAGGCAAGGGCACAGCAGGGTCGCAATGTAAGCGTCGGACTCCTATAGCTGGGGAAGAGTGCTCTGATATAAAAGGTAACATACAATGCATTAGCCACCTCTGAATGGACGAGACCCATCACATCTGCAACTCACATTTAAAAGAAATAGAAGACATTTTAACTATTAAAGCCCTAACCCAAGTAAAAAAAATTTAAACTGCAAGAGGCTTTTTTTTTTTTTTTTTTAAGCTTATGCTATGTGAATGGGAACGTGTAAAAAATTTAAAATGGCCGTTCTCCCAATGTGGCTGCAAAAGTGGAAATACACTTTAAAAATCAGTCAAAATCCCAGAAGCTGGAAAGGTACAGGAGCTGTGGCCCATTACAGCTAGAGGGAGGGAATCCCCAGAAAGATAGGATTTTAGCTCCATAGAAATGTGTCCACCCCTGAATTCATTACTTCCCAATACATGAGGATCTATGGGGAAGGACTGAAATAGAATTCCAAGTTTCTGGAGTGTCAGTGTTGA